TATCTATCTATCTATCTATCTATCTATCTATCTATCTATCTATCTATCTATCTATCGAGTGCAAGCGGCTATTCCTGGCCACGTTTTCCGTGATGTGATCGCCATGAAGCCACCCGGCAGCTGGATCTTTGGGGGTCCGGGCCCCCGTCGTGCATCCTCCTGCTGACCTTGACTTTGCTACAAGCTGCTTGTTCACCGCCCAGTCCCAATTCCGGGTCCACTCTGCATCTTGGCCTTGTTGGTATGGTTTTTGAAAAAAGGAGTGGGAAAGAGCAGGGTTGGCAAACGGCCCAGCGTTTGCCTGAAAGGGGTAGGGATACCCTTAGGGGAAGTGAAGCACCCCCTGAACAACTGGGCGAAGGGCATAATGAATCCCACGGGATAAGTGTCGCAAAGAAGAGAAGCTTCCAAAGGGCTCAGAGGTGCCAGGCTATGGATGGCATGCAAGACGCTTCCTGTGCTGAGCTCAACCATAACTCCATTGCCTGGACCTGCACGAATGACCAAACCATCCAGATCCAGTATGTCCATTGTGAGCCGGAACATGATGAGCTTGACTTTTCCTGGACTCATCGAAGTTCTTCAATGAGCCGAGCTCCAATGCATGGATGCACTGCTTCGTCAGAACTTACAAGTGAATGCCCTCGCGCAAGCAGATGTAGAAGATCAGTCACCTTTTCTGCGTGGCGTAGAGGGAATCACGCAAGTTGAGGAAGGTCCTGGCAGGACCTCTTTGGAATCAGAGGAGCAAGCTCTATGTGATGAAGTGGTGCTGATGCAACGTCCTGCGGGTGCAAGAGGAGCTGGATATGATGTTTCGGATCCGGCTGGGAGCTCGACAAGCAGAGGACAGTCTGCTGCTGTGTCGGGTTTCAGTGGTGAGACTCGGAACACTGACTCTGACTGGGTCACAACTTGGAGACAGGTTCGACAATATCTCTGCGAATATGACAGAGCAGGTGCACCTGGCCATACACAGATATTGGTACATTTGCTGGCTCTGAGAAGAGGAGCAACTGTCGCAAGCGGATTTTGTTGCCCTAGTTGGGTGTTGGCTGATCAAGCTGCAATCTATCATATTTCGGACTGGTGTGAAGAATACGCCTTCCAATTTGACCACAGAGCGTTTCCAGTCACGCATGAATTGTACCAGAATATGCCGGCCATCGTGGTGGTGCAGCATCTGGGAAATTCAGTCTTGCCTTTGGTCGTGCAAGTTGTCATTGAGGTGCACCAGGTCCATGTGGTGATGCGAGCGCGAAGTCATTGACTGGGTGCGCGCACAGACTCAGGTCAGATTGCCTTTCGAGATCTACTACCAAGCAACACGTGTGGATTATTGGCAACAGACCGAAGTTCGAGCGGGCGCGGTTCTGCAGGTACGAAGCCGTACGCAACCAGCAGTCCACTGGTGAGACTGGCCCCTCGTTGGACCAGTATAGCCACACAACCTGGTCATCCTTGCCATCGGAGCCGCGGCCCATTGCTGCATACGCTTCCGCCTGGGGTCCACAATGCATGAACTGAGCCTGCTCAGACGCACAAATGGGGCCTGTTGATTCGCCATGTTCTCCTAGTCTCTCTTCCATGGAGCTGACTAGACGGTGAACTGCAGGTTCTCTTCACACGAACCTGGTGTGGTTCTTTTCCATGTGAGCCCTCTCCGAATGGAGATTGAGCACCTTGGAATGGCTGCGCCACGAACTGGCAGCTTGTGATTAGCTGTTCAGTCACCATGAACTTTTTCTCTGCTCTCGCCAAAGTGGCTTTTGGGGCAGAATGTATTTTTTTACTGTTTGATTGTTGAACTTCGGCATGACCAGTACCCTACGGCAGCGCACCACGGTGCATTGATTGACTTCAAGTCAACCGGAGACACCTGTTCTCTGTGCCCCGCATTCGACGGACCTCCGACGAGCGCCTCAAACTCAAAAACTCAAAACTATCTATCTATCTATCTGTCTATCTATCTATCTAACCATCCATCCATCCATCCATCCATCCATCCATCCATCCATCTATCTATCTAATCTATCTATCTATCTATCTACGACATCTGCACTTCAAGGTCCACAAGGTACTGTGCCGGCCACGAAATCTGCACTCCAAGGCCCACAAAGTCCTGCACCCGCCACGAAATCTGCACTTCAACATCCACAAAGTCCTGCACCTGCCACGAAATCTGCACTTCAAGGTCCGCAAAGTACTGCGCCTGCCACGAAACACGAAAAGCAACAATAACTCCCAAACAAAAACAAGAAAACATACTAAATTAAATCCGAGCCCTCTTACAATCGATCAAGAACGCCGTGCAATGAGAGCAAGGTTGGCCCACTGCGTTTCAATTCTCCCCAAGCAGATTGCCCAACCTGACTGTCTTGATGCTGGCATCATCAAACCCAAGGCCTTCACTACATGGTTCTCCAACCACAGGCAACGGGGGAAGCCGAAGCGCATTTCATGTGCTTTGATTTACATGCAGATTCGATCGGTGACTCTGGACGGATGTCGGCTCAGAAATATGCGGAGCCGCCGTGGAGCACCAGAGAAATGCAACGAAGCAATTCTCTCCATGGTACATGCGTTGTGTCGTTCTGCTATGCTTTGTAGGATCAACATGAATCAACAAACAAATCCAATATGTCCGCAGCTCATTCGCTCATTTGTCGCAGACTCGCGCATTTTGCAGCACTCGCTTCATTTCGAGGCGTGAGATCATGAAGAGGGCCAATCGCGCCGAAGAGGATGCCAGCGCCGCACGGATCTCAAAACATCCCCGGGCCAATCGGCCGGTGATGCGGTTGGTGACAAGTCGCTGTAGAGCGGCGCAGAGGTAGAACACGAAAACGACGGCAAGCACTAGTCACCACAATATGATTCTAAGACGACTCATTGTATCATTGTATCGGTGGATGAAAGAGGATGAACGTGGATGGAAGATAGGTGATTGCCATCCGAGAACAAGGTGGCCTTTTAACCAGAGTTGTTCCAGACCTTCAGGATCTTCTTCTAGTTACGCTGTTTCTGTGTTTCCACCCGCCCTTTGGCCGTTTTCCGCCCTTTGGCTGCACTGGCGTTCAGTTGCGATGCTCGAGGTCTTCTACGATTCTCTTGCGAACTGCGAGATCGTAAAATACTTCCAGGGCGAGGTCAGGGTGATTCTGCAGGCTTTTGCCTCACTAATTCATATACATTTGATCGCCCAGTCCATGTTCTATGCTATTGATGCAGTTTATACTATGGTGTTTTTCTTTGTTGTGAGGACATTGTTCTTGGAAAAAATAGTTCCCAACTGCAAGCCTAATCGCTTGCAAGCTTCTTGCCCACGTCATCTACAGAGCTACCTTGCCAATTCCCATTGCTACGCGGCTGCACGGACCAAGGCAAAACGGCAGTGGTGAAGAAATTGGCATTGCTTCTAGTAGCAAGTAGCAATGCCCTTGTTTCTAGTAGTAATGCCCTTAGCTACTAGTAGCTTCTAACTAGTAATGCCCTTGTTACTAGTAACGAGACATGGGTTTGATGTTTCGGACTCGGCTTTCCCGTGGCTCGGGCCTCACACGGCCACGTGGGTCACGCCGGTCACGGCGGTCACGAGGCACACGAGATCCGGAGATACGACACCGCTTTGGCTCGCTACGAAGCGGAGCAGGCGAGCGGTGACATGGTGTTGGTAGCGTTTGGTGGTGGTGCGAGGCCCTACTTTCAAGTAAGAGCCCTTTGAAAGCCATACAGTTCAAGATGGTTGCGAGGACCATGGGACACCTATGATACACCTACTATGGCAGGTCCTGTAGGACCTCACTGTTTGTGGTTGGTCTTAGTCGGACCCGGCGTCCCGTGGTCCGTCAATCGTTTCAACTCCGAGAATCCCTCAAGGGAGAACGAGGCGACGACTTGGTCCCGGGAGAACGCAGTCGGTTGCGACAAGACATCGCGCTAAATTAGAAAGTTCTGAACACAGATAAGAACAGTCATGAATATCTACAATCGTCATAATGGTCTCTTGGAGGGAAAAGATGACTTAGGCGTGATGCGCCAGACAACCAAACCAGGGCACAACGACCAGCGTAGCACTTGGCCGCATTTGTAATTGAATTGGTCTTGGATCTCCTGTGGAAGCCAGGTGTCAGTCCTGCATTCATTGGCAAAGTCTGGACCTAAGCGATGCTGTCTAAGATTGCTACGCTTGTCCTATCCTTTCCAGTTTTGACCATGCCCATCGTAATAATTGAAAGTTTCAATCATGTTTGATAAATTACACCACCGTAGACCCCAAACAGTTTGCGCTTTTCAAATCGAAACTAGAGCTTGCGACGTCCAGAGCTGGGAGACAAGGGATTGCATACAGAGCGGGCGGACACATCTTAAGAAAGAATTGAGAAGCCCCAACAGCAAACCTTTTGGGGAATTATTCTTCAAGCGCGAACATGCTGCTGGTCATGCTGCTCAATCAGCGCAGAGCTGACCACGTGAGGGCAAGAAAGGAAAGCGTGAGGAGCGAAGGATGTGACATGAAATTGGTTTTTGGCGCCTGACGTATGCCCTCTGTCCCAACTGAACAGAGAGATCGCTGCCACGCCGCCGAAATCCAATCCGGTCATTCATCCAACGCTTGCCCGAAAAGGAAAACAAAGCTGAGAGAGTTACACAGTGTGGCAGGAATGCAATCCCGGAGACAGTCACGCACCCCTTTCAAAGTAGCAAGAACCTTTCACAGGTGAACCTGTTCCAGCGGACAGGGCAGAAAACACCAGGCAGCAAAAAGAAAGAAATCACATGGGAGACAAACGAATAGAAATGCTACATGGCCAGCGGAAAAGGGCGGACACCAGCAGTGACAGATGTGGCAGACAAATGAATAGAAACGCTACATGGCCAGCAGAAAAGCCAGCGGAAAAGGGCGGACACCAGCAGTGACAAACCTGGGAAACAAATGAATAGAAATGTTGCATCGCCAGCGGAAAAGGGCGGACACCGCAAGTGACAGACCTGGGAGACAAATGATGAATAGAAATGATGCATGGCCAACGGAAAAGGGCGGACACCAGCAGTAACGGACCTGGGAGACAAATGAATAGAAATGCTTCATGGCCAATAGACAAAGACACACCAGTGACAGACCTGGGAGACAAATGAATAGAAATGCTACATGGCCAGCGGACAAGGGCGGAGACGACCAGTGACAGGCCTGGGAGACGCATGAATAGAAATGCTGCATGGCCAACGGACAAGGGCGGACACCAGCAGTGACAGACCTGGGAGATGAATAGACATGCTGCATGGTCAGCGGAAAAGGGCGGACACTGGCAGTGACAAACCTGGGAAACAAATGAATAGAAATGTTGCATCGCCGGAAAAGGGCGGACACCGCAAGTGACAGACCTGGGAGACAAATGATGAATAGAAATGTTGCATTGCCCGCGGAAAAGGGCGGACCAGCAGTGACAGACCTGGGAGACAAATGAATAGAAATGTTGCATGGCCAACGGAAAAGGGCGGACACCACCAATGACAGACCTGGGAGACAAATGAATAGAAATGCTACATGGCCAGCGGAAAAGGGCGGCCACCAGCAGTGACAGACCTGAACAGAATTCCTGCACAGCGGACACCACCAGTGACAGACCTGGGAGACAAATGAATATAGAATAGAACCCCTAAAAGTAAACTGTTTGGGGAAAAAGTGGGAGACAAATGCAAGGAAGTGGGAGACAAGCCGGGCGGAAACCCGACAACAAGCATCCAGTGTGGGAGACAAATGAAAAAGAGGGAGACAATTAAAAGGAAATGGGAGACAAATCAAGGAAGTGGGAGACAAGCCAGCCGGGACAAATGGAAGGAAGTGGGAGACAAATAAAAGGAAATGGGAGACAAATGCAAGGAAGTGGGAGACAAGCCAGCCGGGAACCGGACCACAAGCACCGAGCCTGAAGGAAGTGGGAGACAAGCCAGCCGGGACCACAAGCACCCAGCCTGGGAGACAAATGAAAAGAAGTGGGAGACAAGTGAAGAAGTGGGAGACAAATGAAAGGAAGTGGGAGACACATGAAAAGAATTGAGGGGAAACAAAAGACAAGTCAGCCGGGAACCTGACCACAGGCACCCAGCCTGGGAGACAAATGAAAAGAACTGGGAGACAAATGAAAGGAAGTGGGAGACAAGCCGGCCGGGAACCCGACCAGACCATCCAGCAGCAAGGCGACCATTCTTTAAAGCATTGAGAACCCCTAACAGTAAACTGTTTGGGGAACAAACGAGGAAAGTAGATGCTGTCAGGGCGGATTTGTCATTTATCTTCATTTTGAGAGTCCTCTTTATCACATTCTTGTTGAAACTCCAACTCACCAACCAGCATGGGGAGTCCAGCCAATTCAGGTCGGAGGAGCCGTTTGTTTGCGAGCCTCGTGGCCGCCTCGCGGCCGCCTCGCGGGGTGAACCCGCCGAGGTTGAATTTCGGTCAGTCTGTCATCGTGGTGAGCAGCTTCACTTCGATCCTGGCACTCACCTCACTCCGAGTCTTGAGCGGACAGCTCCCGGCTGGGAGCCACAAGGTGGAGAGCTGTTGCTTTTGAAGTAGGTGGAACTGGAACATGCATGGAAAAATGCAAGGCCCTTCACAAGAGTGGATAAGGTGGAGATAGAAGCAGAGTGTGATGAGTTATGGTGAGTTCTTTTTGAATAGAACACACAATTTGGTGCTTTGAGATTGCTTGAAATCACCGAGCAAAATAGCTGGCGCCGGTACCTATGCTCTCTCTAAACCTGTTCGTTGATTCGTTGTGTTGCGTGGTGTTGGATGGCGCTTAGATGGCGCTTGGCGTCCGAGGTTGGAGACGTCGTGGCGATTCACGGGATTTTAGTATGACACTCAGGCGGTGGGTTTGGCTAGACGGTTTGATGTTTGGTTGGTAAGGTTTGGCCAATCGAACTGATCATGAAGGGCAAATTGAACCGGAGCAGCTTTGCGATTTGCATTTGGAATATACATATAATTACATATATATATATATAGATACTTAGATTTTCAATTGACTTAGCTTGGATGTTTAGGGGGATTGCCAAGACCCGATTTACTGTATTTATCAACTGACCCATAGAAGGTCCGGAAGGTCTTGGAGAGACCCCGCAAAAAGACATCCATGATGGAGGGATTCGTTGTGAGGACAATTAGACTATATTGGATTTATAATGATTTATATAATCCACAGGAAAGGAACAGAAAGGACATGTAGGGGATAGCACCGAGAATGGCTCGATTTAACGAAGGGTTCTACTAATTGTCAATTGTTTGTGCTCAACTGACATTACAGAGCTAATAGTCGCAGTTCTAACCCTAGCTACGTCTTCTGAGTTCTTGATGCTCCATGAATTCCTATGCCTGCTCACAATCAGACACATAAGAGGATGAAAACGCTTTTTGTTTGCATCTCCTCTTTGCACTCCATGCTCATGCTGAGGCTCAACTCATGCAGCCTTTGGGCATTTTGGGTGGTGTTTACCGAGTGGGTACGCTCAGCGCAGTGTTGAACAACAGACTTGGCCCGGACGTCGACATTTACTGTAGTTTGGCGTTTCACTCCGGCGTAACTTGTTGCAAACGAGCGATGTTGGCGACACCTAAGGAAGGGCAGCTCTCCACCTTGAAGTCTTTTAGCTTTCTGCACATCTAATATCTTCGAATATCTTCAAATCGTCTTCACAAGGCGGAAGCTGGCAACTCGGTAACATGGTAACATGGATTTCAGATGATCTAAGACTACTTCACGTCATGCGAGACGCGTGCCGAACGGTCTCTCGACCGACCGACCTCTCGGATTCCCGGCCGCGTGGTCGCCAGCCGCGCCGGCGAGTTTCGGCTCGAGGGCAAGCACTCAGTCCCTCTGATTTCACCAGGGGTGGGGAGGCGCCAGCATACCACACGTGCAGGTGCCAGGGAGAGCGCCAGACGGAGTTCTGGAGACAATCCTTCAGGGAGATGGAAGGGAGACGGATTTGGCCTAATTACATTTGATGAAGCTAATTCGTTGTTCGAACTGGTACTGCACGTGATTTTTAGTTACATACTTCTATCCCGGCCAAGCTAGGCTGCCAGCAGTGACCCGTCTGGATATTGGATGTCTGTGAGTTGCGACCATACATCCAAACAACATAGTTGAGCAGTTGAGCAGCTCTTCAACTCCATCATTCCAATCTGAAGTATGCTCGTATGCTCCGTTGGATCATGCGAGGGTATGCCGGCGACTGAAGAGTATGCCGTCAATACAGATCTTGAAATGCAAATCGAGCACGTGAGGCCTGGGTGATTCGACATGATTCGACCGATTCGACCGGTCGAACAGGTGAGTGTGGAAATTCCATCTTGGTTGGAACGGTTCCTTTTGTTGGATTCCAACCAACCAAGAGTGTTGGGGATTCTTGCAATGGGACCGACCCCTGCCTCGCACACTGTAGTTTGACATGTTAGAGGGCATACCTGGGCATGCGGCATACATGTCCACTGGGTACGGCAGATGGATACCGTACGCATGCCACACGGCCACGGAGTGAGGAGCTTGGGCCCCATGCACCGGACTCGCACAAAAACGGCGCCTCGAACTCGCCGGTCATCCAACCTAGAGCTGTCTGGCCTCCAACCTAAGAGCAATATTTTCAAATTTAATTCTGAACAACTTGGGACGTTTCTCATCGTTTCAGTGGGTTGATGCAGTTTTCAATAGTTGGTTTGTTGCGACTGGTTCTTGTGGGGTGTTGGGGGGGGGGTACACCAGCTTGACCCGTGTTCTTCTCTTTCTCGCCTTTGCGGCGCAAACGCGCAGGGAGAAAGGTGAGCTGTCGGAAGCACAGTGCCGATCACTTTGTGAGACTTGGCCCACAGATCAGTGAGTTGTGCATGGCACAAGCGGAGGGTTTACCCTGTGGTCATGGTCCTAGCAATCCAAGCCACTAACACTTGGGAAGTGACTTGATTGAGAATGAAGAATCATTCGACATCTACTGTAATTATCATACGATGTTGGTCCAAAAGGAGTACTGCTGAAAAGAAGGACTCCGTCACCAGCTCGGACACCTCTTAGCCTTGGCCTTAGGTTTTCTCCGCAGGTTCGCAGGGACTGCTCCGTGGGAGTCTGGCCGCACACCCGACCTTCACGGATTTGGCTTCCCAAAGGAATCAAAAGCAAACCCTGACCCTTGGACCACCACAACCAATGTGGTTTGAACCACAACTAGTTTGTGCACTATCACTAGGGACTAGGGGTGGAGTTTGTACCACAATCACGGTATTCCCTCTGTTCATTGCCATGTTGGTCGATTTCCAAGGAGAAAGTCCGGGAGATTCTTCAAGAAGAGTCGAACTGTCAACCAGTTCGTTGCCCCGTCTCTAGACTTGATGAATCGCCGTTCGCCGGCCCTGATGAACGGACGAATACGGCCCGCAGCTCGCACGGCCGGTTCAGTGTGTTGTGGTAAAAATTTGTTCCTACTACTAGCGATGCACTTGTTACTACTAGCGACTTGTTACTACTAGCGATGCACTTGTTCCTAATAGCTTCTTGTTACTAGTAGTAAGGCCCTTGTTACTAGTAGCGATGCCAGGAGTGCCCCTAGTAGCGTCCATTCTCCTAGTAGCGATGCCCTTTGTTACTAGTAGCTTCCCTTTCTCTGTTCGGGTATGGATCACGAGATTCACGAGATTGGTTTCCAGGGATTCATGACATATATATATATATATAAATACTGACTCCGTTCTGCGAGCAGTTGCTGGTTGCTTTCCAGGTCACCGTTTGCGGAGACATCCACGGCCAATTCTTGGATCTTAAGGCGACAGGGTTCAGTTGAGATCGCTTGAGTTGGGAGCTGACAAGGTTTTGACTGGGTGAGAAGCGATTTGATGCGATGAAGCCAGGTAATGAACGGGAACATGTTTTCTTGAGCGGACAAGGAACTTTGCTCTGTATCACGGTAGTTCTGGCCTAAATATAGTTTTTTTTTCTTTTTTTCACCGCAGACTTCTTTTTGTTGGATAATCTGAACAAGTCAACTGACAATGTCCCGGGCACAAACCAGCTTCTCCAAAGAACCAAGAAGGACTCGAGAAAAGGTGCGCCTAAGGTGCCACTGTATCTTGCTGAACATTGATGGCAGACATCCGACAACTTATTGACATGAAAACGGATGAACTTTCTGAACGAATTCAAACAAACATGAGCAAACTACGGTAGATTGATACGTGTTTGCTAGCACACCCTCCATTCATGTGTGGAGCTGAACCAATCAACATAATTGGTGTGGCTGCAGACCGTAGGTTCCCCGACACTCAGCACCAATTAGTTTGGGGTGCCTTTTCCTTCCTGAACCCTGAGCCTGACCAGGGAGAGGAGGATAGTCTTGTGATCTCAAAGGTCAGTTGACATTGCATGCTGAACAGACCCGTTCTCAAATATCTGCACCAGTTGAACTCAAGGTCTTGGTTCTTTTCTCATTCTCCGCTCTGGATTTCCTGGAATAATTGGCCCAGCCATGCCCAGCCAGGAGTTGTTCCGTATTGGAGGCCCGTTGCCAGAGATCCTTGGCCTCTTTATAATGCATGATGATACAGGGCATTTGCAGTGGAACACTTCTACCATTACCTGCTCCTATTATTTGGATAAATTTGGATAGCAATATTCAATATTCCTACTACTTGTTGCGTGTTGGTTGAGGACCAACTACTTGTTCCTTGGTGACTATGTGGACCGCGGCTACTACTCCGTGAAGACGGTGTCTTTGATGTTCCTCTACAAAGTCCGCTTCAAGGACGTGTTGTTTGCCTCAGTTTGTGACCTCCATCTATCTCCTGTGTTGCTTGTAATGGTCAGCATGTCCTCTTGGTCCAGTGAAACCATGTGAAACCACGATAAACCGCGTGAAAACACCTGAAACCACGTGAAACCCGTGCGAAACGCTTCCGCGTGGACCGATCTTGACCGATCGGCGATGAATCGAACTCGTTGGCAGGAGCGCATCACCATCCTGCGCGGAAACCACGAGAGTCGTCCTCCAGAGGCATTTAGGATCGCTTCGGACGGAAGTTTGGCAGCCATTGGCAGCCACTGGCCATGTTGTATCCATGTAGTATCCTTTGCGGTGACTTATTGTGGAGTTGGAAACGGCTCTATAGTTGGCTGGTCTTCTTACAAGAACACACCCAACTCACAGCCGCTGGAAGAATTTCAGATGGTCCTCAATGTCTGACATGAATTGGAAGGCGGAGGAACCACGTGGGAGTTAGACGGTCCTCATTACTCAGATAGGAGATTGCTCCGTCCAATCCGAGGCCAAATCACACAGGTCTATGGATTCTTTGACGAATGCGTGAGAGCCTACCGCGGCCCGCAGGCAGGGCGCGAAGTTAGCATACGATGTGGGCCCACAGATTCCTACCAGTGATCAACAGTGTCCAAATGCTGTTTGCTTGGAAAATAGAATTGAAGTCAAGTCAAGGTTTCAAGGAAGCAGCTTACCTTGAAGCACTGATTGCTGTCGATAACACGGTTTTGATGGATATTTAATTACATTTCTTTTGGCTGGACTCAAGGCTCAAGACAACGCAAAGATATGCAACGTTGATTTAAGACCTAAACTGATGTAAAGTCACTTGAGTTCATGCATAGTTTTGATGCAAAGTTGCATCGAGCAAGAACCCCCATGTCAGAGCTGCTCAGGTGTGGAAGCTGTTTACGGACTCCTTTGATTATTTGCCAGCCGCTTGACGCCTTCTTAGAATCCTCACCCGGATCAGTGGGAAGCCAGGTCTTTTGATGGTAGAGCTATCACGTTCCAAGCTCTGGATCATGCAAAGGATCATTTCCATTCGGCCGTATGTATGTTTTTCTTACTATTATCATCTTTCTTTTTCATTGATTTTTATTGTATATTTTTGTTGGTGAGCTTCAAGAGCAGATGTGACCAAGGTGACAGCGGTGATTGAAAATCAGATCATTTGTGCCTTGGTGTGGTTGGAAATTCAGGTTGCTATGTGTTCATTTGGTGAGCAATATGCAACATCAGAGACTTCATGGTCAAGCAGCTCATAAATTGGGCACGATCAACCCACGGACAATGGAGCAATGGTAGAACCTGCCAAAGACAGTAAAGCCTGTAAAGGATTGGCGTCGGGAAAACCCTCACACCATTTACTCATAGAATATATAGAGTGCCCGCTTTCTTAAAAATCATACTTTACCTCAAAAAAAAAACAAGAATCAATGTGGTGAGGCATGCACGGCGGAATCTCTCCCTCTCTGGATTCCTTGGACAACATCCGACAGCTGGACCGGATTCAGGAGGCAGATGCCGCGCAAAACAGAGCCGGCCTGCGTAAGTCGAGTGCAGATGCCATCGTAGTAGCAAGGAGTATTGAGGGTGTAGTCTGGTAATATTTGCGACATGCTGTCAAGAACACTTGCAACATCTTCAAACTTCTTACTGCCCCTTCCATTTGAGGATTCTACACTTTAAGGTTTCATTTGCCCCGCGCCGGTCATCTTTCCTTTGCTAGCCCAACTTGACCAACCGCGGAACCGTCGCAGGTCCCTCATGAGGGCCCGATGCTTCTTGGCGCTGAAGGTCGGTGTGTGGCCAATTGCGGACCATCCTCTGGGGAGCGGTGTATGATCCAAGAATCTCCAAAGCAGACACATGAAAAGGAAAAGCATCTAGGAAAACAATTAAAGTATGTTTAAAGTATTTTAAAGTAATTATATAATTATATAACTATATAGTTGAAATATGTCGAAATGAGCTCAGAAGAAAGATGAAGAAAGCCTGTGAAGCCAGAAAACAGTTCTCACTCAGGTGTGACTTGCTTTGGTCAGACCCAGATGATCGTTGTGGATGGGGTATTTCACCGAGAGGAGCACGATCCTGGACAGGTTTGTTCTTGAGGTTGTGTGGTGACAGGTGGGCCAAAACGGGTGGTGGTGGTAGTAGTAGCAGTAGTAGTAGTAGTAAGTACACAGCAGTGTCCCATCGTCAGAAAGGTTTGCCCTGAGTTATGTCTCACTATGTCTCACTCTGTCCCTCAGATTCCACTTGAATTCATTTGGCCACCAAAAGCACGATGACCGCGACGACACTGTGACGATGTCGGTGGCAGGAGCTGGCTATACTTTTGGGCAGGACATCTCAGAGCAGTTTCTTGACGTCCATTGCGTCGATTTTACTTTCAGGGACGGTCACAATGAGTTTCTGCATGTTTCTGCTGTTGTTTGGGGGTTACTTCGGAATGAACAGGGAGACGAAAGAACTCTCCAAATTTGGTTGCTTGGCGGCCAAAATTCCACATTATGAAAGCTGCGGGAACAGATTTTGACCCACTCTCATCCCACTCTCATGTAATTGCATGTTAGGCGATCATCGACGCACTGCATGATGTCAAGCTGAGGGTTGGATCGTTGCATTTCCATGAAAAGAGATTGTCATAGTGGGAGCCTGTTCTTTGAAGGAGGTATTGTTGGAAGGGACGCATGAAGACGGACAGCCGACAAATGTGTTCTTTCTTGTTTTGCCCATAGTCACTCGCCATCCATGGCCCGTAAAGGCATGCTGAAACTATGCAGGCTTTGACTAGTTTCCAGGTAACGGAGTGTCTTGAAAGTAGATGAAACACCCAGGTATACCCAGGTTTGTGGCCAAAGGAGCAAGTCTCATACCCGCTCTCTGGCCGCTCTCAGGTTCAATCATGCAAATGGTCTCAAACTCATTGCGCGTGCGCACCAGCTCGTCATGGAGGGGTACAATTGGTGCCATGACAGGCACTCGCCGCAGTCGCGGCATGATTCCATTTTGAGCACTTTCACGACTTTCAGGGGTTGTTTGGCACCTGAATTTCACACAATAATTTCAAAAGTTTGACCAGCAAGAATTGCAGATCGTTGATGAACCAGAGAGTGTCAACACTTTGCCGTCCACTCGTTCAGGCATGTCGTCACAATCTTCTCAGCGCCCAATTACTGCTACAGGCGCCAAACGGCTGGTGTAGCTGTTGGGGCCAAGACTAGTAGCGTGGCACTTGTTCCTAGTAGCTTCTTGTTACTACTAGTAAGGCACATGTTACTACTAGCGTGGCACCTGTTACTACTAGCTTCTTGTTACTACTAGTAAGCATGGTGTGGTAGAATTATGTAGAAATGAGGTTGGTCCCAGGCCAGACTAGTCTATCTAGTTTTGGGTCTTGACTTAAGAGGGCCAAGATCTTCCGGCTTGTCACTTCAGTCAGTTTGATTATTGACTACCGTGGCCATTGGCAACTCATGACCCTTGAGGTGTGGTAACCAAGCCGCCGTCATGGAAATTGACGAGCACCTCAAGTGTTTTGACCGCAGCATATGGGTGAATGGCTTCTTGAGCATGTTCAATCATGATCTTCAGATGTTTATTTGTCCCGCAATCGGGTACACGTCATAATATGTCAATGCACCTGCTTCAAGAATGTGAGTTTTTGGTTCATCACTTCCAACCGCAGACAATCAGGTACACATATCTGCAATTCGATCCACCGCCTGTTCAGAAGGAGCACCGACTCTTTTTTCTCCCCCTTGAGTCTACTGTGTGTTTTGTGTCTTTTTTTCCTGGTCTGTTGAGTTTCAACTGCTGTAGCTTTGCCAGGAGATTCCAGCTGAAGGAGTGAAGCGCACTCCGGACTACTTCCTTTGAAGGGAACTCGGGAACACCGACGCGAAGCGAGAACTGCGTGAAAAGGAGATCCTTCCCGCGAATCCATGGGCTTTGTGTAGTCTAGGGTTTGAGTCTTGGAGTGCTGGACATTACTCTCTATTATCAACCAGAAAGCTCTATATACTGTAGCTAGAACATGCTATGACTTTATTGGCTTCAAATCCCTTAAACAGGTCCACATTCAGCTTTGCAGTATGGGTAGAACATGTTGTCCCTGTTTGGCGTCAGTTCTTGGACGAGAGGCTGAAACGACGCAGCAGAGACCATGCGCCGAATCCATCCTCGTGCAATGAGGTTGAATCAGCAACCGCCTCCGCTTGAAAGGAGCATACTAGTAGTAACAAGAAGCTATTAGGAACAAGTGCATCGCTTCTAGTAACAAGTGCCTTACTAGTAGTAACAAGAAGCTACTAGAAGCAAGTGCAACCACTTTTTCTGCCTTAACCGTCTTCGCCTCTTCCCACAGCCATGTTCCGCCCGTGGAACCCCGCCGCGGCGCTCAGGTCACCACCCAGGGCTTCGTGGATCTCGGAAAGTTGGCGGCTTTCTTGAAGGAGGCGACTGGGTGGGCGAGGAGACGGCGAGGACTAGACTCGACTGAGGGAGCAGACTTTTTGAAGATGCTAAACAAAATACACTTCTGGAATGAGCAGAACTGCGATGCAACACCCCACCGCCCAAGTGCCTGCAGGGCAAATTCGATGGAATTTCAGATGCCAGGTGCCTGCAGTTCAGGTACCTCCTGGTGGAGGTGTCGACTTCCAATTTCGAGGAGGCATCCGGCCGGAGGATGGTTGACCAATATTGATCGGCACAAAAGGAGGTGGAAGAGAGTCAGAGTGACGTGTCCTATTTTTGGCGAGTGATCACTCCACCACTCCACGGTCGCACGCACGGTGGGGCCAGCCGAGGTGCTTTGGAGTTTCGGGACGTCCACTACACCTATGCACACAACGCTGTGCTGCGGGGAGCTTCCTTGGTGTGCCAATGCGAAGTTTGGGGATGGGAAGCACACGTGGATACATACATATATATATATATACATTATAGTAATATACATTTAATTACTTATTATATATGTATATAAAAATTATGCGTTTATTTATTTAGTCATCACTCATCATCACCTTTAGACCATGATGAATCAATATGATCAGGTGATTTGTTTCGGCAGCGAGCTATGTGGGAGAAACCCGTTAATTTGCGCACTACTAGTTGGCCATAGACCCTCCAAGCCTTTGGCACCGCATACATAGGTTTTATCTTCTATATTTGGCCATATCTTCCCATAGAGCCAAGCAGCTCAATCATCCAAAAGATACGAGAAACCCATAGAAGCCCATATACAATATACAGACATATAGAGATATCCAATGATAGAGAGAACTTCTTAAGATTTAAGACCCCCTATATTTTCCACGTCTTCTCAGCCAGGATATCAAGCCCGGCTCGAAGGTGGCGATTGTCGGACCCAGCGGTTCCACGGCCTCGGCTGGAGAAAGAATCTCCAAGTTTTCTGTGTCTAATTTGCAGTTACGTGTAACTGTTGTAACTCATGCAGTTAAACCATACTTTTTGCATAGTGTTTCATTCATTTGCAACACAGAGTCTTTGCTTATATTTATTTGCTTATCTTAGTTGCCCTGGAACAAAGCAAACCACAAGAATTTGAGGTCTAGAGTCTAGAGCTGCTAGAGCGATTGAAGCCTCCTCAGGTTTGTTGCTCCGTATGATCCACTATCAGTAAGCTTCATAATTATATAAATCTTATAGTTACATCCTCTCTAATACCCGGGAAAAGAGCTGACTACATAGATGACCGATGACACGCAGCTTTACCATTTGACTCCCTAGTACATGTCCCAACCATCAGGTTCCGGCAAGAGCACATTGCTCAGATTGCTCTACCGCTTGAACGATCCGCAGGAGGGGCAGGCGCGGAGAAAAACAACTTGACCATGCAATGCTGGCAATGAAATTATGTCAGGGTGGAGACGATGCTCGTGGCAATACCTCACTTGGTGGACACCAAGTAAGCCCCAAAGCCCTCAAGTCTTTTGTTGTCCTAAATCTGTTGGATGCCAAATCCAAATTTCATTCCAGGCTCCTGCAGGGAGGCCACACACCATTGCAGGGTGAAGTCACTACCTGATTGATGTCTTTACAAGGACTATGCAATGACAATGCTTGGTCTCATACAGGAATGCCAGAGTAATCCAGGGTATGTTCTATCAGCAGAGCCCACGCATGCTGCAGTTTCAATGAAGAATCATCCTGAAATCCACCGTGAGAAATCAAGCTGCCCATCTTGAGCCGCTCCAGTCAGAACCGTTCGCTCAGCAAGAACCGTTCGCACCGCCGAGGTGCTCATTGATGGGCAGGATGTGAAGACACTCAATCCATCCTTTCGACGCTTCCTGGGCATCGTCCCACAGGTGCGATGGAGAGTTCCGGGAGTGCGTTCGGAAAGAGGCACAGTACGTATCGAAAGGAGACCGGAGCGGTTGAGGTCTGCAGAGCAATTGGTGTTGTTTGTTCTTTTTTCACCCCTTTGTTACCTGCCCAGTCGATATTCTCTTTGTTGTTTTAGTGATTTGTATGTCGTCATTGTTGGGTCTAGTTCATACAGCTGTTTTTTCTTCTACCGAGGGATGGTCAACTTGATTGGACATTTGTATCTAGGAACACCTGTTCTGGTATGCACTGGATGTTGGCCTCTTGTTTGCAGGCTCTTCTGTTTGCAACAGAAGACAATTGCTGAGCTTAGTTCATTGCAAGGATTGTGCATTGTTCAACGACACCATTCGCGCGGAAGCCCTGCTCGCTACGGATGATTCTGAACGAGTCTCCGATAGATGCAACGCATGTTTGTTTTGCTCGTGTGGAACCTTTTAAACCAATTCAACTCTTTAAATCCAACTCTGGTGACCGAGGGTAAGCAAGATCCTGGCATCTCCTTCAGCGATTGCAGATCCGCCAACGATGCTCACAAACACCATAAATTTATATAAATTTAGATATACATGCAAACTTTCTGGTGCCGGATTCATTTCATGAATGTCTTCCTTCAGAACGCAGCAAACTGTCCGAGTCTGCAATGCGCAAAAAACCACATCCAACGAGCTAAGAAGACTATTGATTTCGCTTGTCCTGCCTCTACAGCCTGAGTACCACAATGTGGTTGGAACACTGATTTTTGAACATAGAACTCGTTAGATGTCTTTCGGTCCCTACTCACTTCTGCAAAGCAAGAAAACATAAGAACACACTTAGGCCATATTGGTTCCTCACAACAACCCAGGGGCGCCACTGCGAATGAGGCTTCAACATCCGCTATGCTCGGCCTGATGCAACAGATGCAGAGGCCCGAACAACTCGGCGTGGCATAATCCTGTAGCACAGGTGGCTGCGTTTTTGAACAGGGAATATCGGAGTACCTCCTCAAATAGTGTGATGTGAGAGAATCATTACATACGTAATACATAACATTAAGTATGTATGTTATACCTATAACATATACTGTATATATATAACACGTACTGTATTTTCTTAAATTGATATATCCGTTGTAATCACGCACTTGACGTGCTCTTCCTGGCTGTGCTTGTGAACGCTCCTTGCTGAAGAAGTCCGCACCAGGTCGAGTGGGCAGCTCGCCTTGCACAGATCCATGACCACATCGTCTCCTTGCCAGCAGGCGAGCGCCGGCATTTGGCCTGTGTTTCCCTGTTTTTGCTTGCCCAACAAGAAGCTACTAGTAACAAGTGCATCGCTTCTAGTAACAAGTGCCTTACTAGTAGTAACAAGAAGCTATTATTTGGGTGTTGTCAAAATTGATGGACTTTGGAGCTTCAAAGGTAGACAGACGGCCTTCAACACAAAGTCAGATCGCTTTTTGATGCGTGCGAAAACAGTTTTGGAGTCTTAGCGTCTTCTGCTTTTGTCCTCCGGAGGCTATGACACCGCCGTGGGGGAGCGTGGCATGAAACTGAGCGGTGGCGAGCCAGCGGGCCCAGTGTGGCTATGGTGGTTGCATGTCTATTTGCAATTCTATGGAGCAGCTGAGTGTGATGTTGGGCACCTTACCACTTTCCTGGGATGACGGCAGGATATGGCCTCTGTATCACCTTTTTGTTGTGCGGGATGTTCCATCCAGCCACCGTTGGAAAGGATCCTTTTTAAGATTAGTATCTGGTGTATCCATTTGCAGCTTGCTACGTATATGTTATGCCGTTTTAGGCACATTTGGTATGTTTTTTAGTCATGCTCATAGGTGTTTATATGATTCTATTTGCGTGACGCGGTGTTTATATCATTGTATGTTTCAAAGAGATTCAGACCTTCGACACATGCTAGACTTGATAGACTTGTTTCAACATGAATTCCTGTGTGACTTCTACTTCAGGCGTCACCGGGTGTCTTAATGCATTCGGTCCTGCGTCAGGCGGCAGCGCGTCGGCATTGCGCGGTGTCTGCTGGCGGATCCGTCCCTCGGCGCGGTGTCTGCTGGCTTCAGACCTGCCTATCCTGGGAGTTCGATGGCCTCCCACCTAATAGATCCTGATTGCGATGGCCTCCACCCTAGGTTGGAGGCCATCGCTATTAGGTTGGAGGCATGTCTTAACTTCGGGAGATGGAAGGGCTGTTTTTTCTCGAGCGATTTTGTTGTTTTTTGGTACAAACAACATGATTCATTTTGCGAATCTTTTCTGAAGTATCATCATGTATACCACATGTGTTACCCATGCAGTTGCCAAAATGCATGAAGAAGTTTTTAGTGACCAGCCACCTCGACTCACTTACCTCGACTCACTTCTCGCATCGAGACAAGCAACCGCATGCCACGAGGTCGGTGTGCCTGCTGGACGAAGCCACCAGTGCACTGGATGTTCGCACCGAGCGCGCCTTGGCGGAGGCCATGCAGGAGCTGATGAAAGGCCGACGAGGGTTGAAAGAAGGGAAAGAGGGGTGATGTGATGATATGCCATACCTTGGGTAGTGTTTGTTCTCGTGATCCATAGCAATCCATTGAGTTATGATGAGTCATATGATGTCGTATCGTATTATGTTGTATTAATCTAAATTTACATTTGTTGGATCAAGCTTTTATGAGAGGTCTGCTTGATTGTCTTGAACTTGAAAGACCTTGCCAATTACTTCTACATTTCACGAGAAGTCCCATTGGCCAAATATTTTGCAGATTTTTCTGATGCTTACAAGCCCCTAGTAGCGTCCTTGCTCCTAGTAGCGATGCCAGGAGCCCCTAGTAGCTTCTTGTTCCTAGTAGTAAGGGCAGGAGCCCCTAGTAGCACACCACGACCAAAGCGACCAAAAAGCGACCCCCGTGTCGCAGGGGCTGATCGATGCATCCTCACACTGTTAAGAAGTTTCACGAGAGAAGGGTATCATAAATTTGTGATTGTGGAGCCTTCATATGCGTTTTCCAAGTGTGAAATTGGATTCAAGGTTGCCATATTATATATTGAATTTAAACGATTGGACACTGACACTTAAAACGCATATTGACTGAAGTTGTAATGTTTGAGGTGTTCAAAGTCATGGTGATGGAACTTCTTAAAATCACAAGGAGTAATGGACCGTGCAAATTCCAATGAACAAGAACATAGGGACACACGTGACACAAACAAAGTCCTATTCTACAACTCTTCATCCTTCTGAGATTTTCTTCTGTGATCTGCCATCTGCAGAAATTACTTTTGTCAGAATGTCAGAAGCTCACTAAGAGACACCAGTAACACTGTGAGATTAGGGGTCCAGTCCCTTTTATGTAGTCCAAAAATGCATGCGCAAACAGATGCACCACCTTCATACGTGTAAAATTGTGTAAATATCTTTGAATTATACATCAATTGAGGTACCACATATTGCAGATTCCGCCCAGGGAGGTATCAGAATTTTCTGACGATCATCATAATTTTCTGACGATCCTCAGAATTTTCTGACGATCATCAGAATTTTCTGACGATCATCAGAATTTTCTGATGATCATCAGAATTTTTCATAATATTCCCAGATTCATCATAATATTCTGAGCACCCATAAGCGTAAAAACACAATCTTGTTAAAATAAGTGTTTCATGAACGCATATTGGCTTACCCAACTATCAATATATATGCTGTGACGCTTCCAGAGCTATTTCGCATGCCCTCACGAAACTCCATACACACTGTCGCGCCGAATTCGACGGACGACCTGCCCAGGGCGCACCTCGCTGATCGTGGCCCACCGGCTGCAGACAGTGCAGCGATGCGACACGGTGGCCTTCCTCGAGGCGCAACAACGTGCGACACATGGCACAAGTGGGAGCGTTTTGAGAACGTGGCCGTGGTGGCCTTTGTATACCGGTCAGGAGGTAGGCCAGGTACCTTTTTTAAAGCATTGTGGTAGGCCAGGGAGATGATGTTTTCAGGTGGTGAGTGTTTTTTCTATGAGCTGCATTGAATTACATGCATGTGACTCCTTGTTCTCCTGATGAGAAGGTCTTGAGTCTTGGGACCGCCCTCCTGGCGTCGCGTTTCCATTGGGGAACACACGTTTTTTCTACTATGCCGTGACTTCCGCGGCTGAGTGTAGAATCAATTTAACGTGTTCCTTGAGACGATTTGTCTTGGGTGCCCAATGCAGCTGAAAAATCTTGAGAACCAACAACTGCTGGACATCTAGGAAAAGAATTGCCAACACTCCGAAAAGCAATCCAATCTAAGCTTCACAACCCGATTGTCAACATGTGAGAGGTAATCTCTTTGACCTCTGGAAAGCTCCAAGGTGACAGTGGGTGAGAGTGGTTTTAGAGTCCTTAGATTCAAGCAGTCTACCTTTGGCAGCATCTTGCGGTTTCCAACGCTTTGCTGCTTGTTGTGACATCCCGTAGCAATGCTGATCGTTCGTTCCTGTGGGTTGAAATATGTTGACATAGACATAGAGCACTGCACGATCAGACAGGGTGGCGTGATCAGTGAACAAGGTCCTCACGAGGCTCGACTCAGCTGCATGGTATGGGAATGTATGGGACTATATGAAAAAAATGTTATATAGTTATTCTATAATATATTATAGATATACACACATTGTGGGCATATATACACATTGTGGGCTTGTCTAACCGTCTCACCGAAGGGGAACATCCGTTCATTTTGATGGCTGATGTCATTGCCGTGGTTATGAACCTTGGCAAAGCAAGCTCTCAACACAGCACCTTACACGAGAGAGTCATTTCATCTCCAGTGCTTTGTGGAAACCTGGCTTCGTTGAGCCCCCACCAGGAACTCCTTGACAGAAGTGAACGATACCGACGCTTTTGGCAGGGTGTGAAGGACTCGGCTGGTCATGGCAGCTCAAAAACAGGAAATCCTTGCATCGGATGGCCCTCACCTTGAGTCATGAGTTTCCGACAGGTGTTCCAACCTTCCAGGTATGGATGTCAAGAGGTTTGGTAGGGTTGGGTGGTTTGGTGCGAGAGATTCCTCCCAGAAATTCGAATCAGCTAAGGTACCTGGAGAAGCTTGATTGAAAAAAGACCGCTGGGACATGTGTGAGGGCTAGCGGCTATTAGCGGCTAGCGTTCATTTGAGTGGTGGCAGTGGTGGTTAGATTTCTTTCCATCCGTATTTAGTTTGATTTTATTCTTTTCCAACAAACCTGGTCTGAATCAGCAACCACTTAATGATGTTCATGGTCAAGATCAGCACAGAATTTAGACTCATGTCGTCTTATTCAGTCTTCTGATTTTGCTCTCATAAGTGCGTTTGATTCGCAACGTCAACTGAAACAGGAAAAAGACGCACAACCAATAAGACTGACAGTTTTGGAGCTGTATCAAAGAGGGACAGGTGCAGCATATCATCCACAGCTTGCGCGGCACTATGGATATATATATATATCGATTCAGTAGGAACTTGTACAGCATGAAAGAGGACAAGTAACTTCAAGTACATGCATTCTAGGCAACTTCGGGCGGATTGCAATTTGTCGATAGCTAGCTCCATTCACCAGGTGCCAAAGGTGTCACCAGGTTGGCTCCGAATTCACCGGGCCCAGTGCTCCATTGGGAGCGAGGTGCCCTTGCATTGATTCTCAGGCGGGGGGGCATCGGGGGCAACAGGCTTTTGGATCAGAGATTGATATTGGTATCAATTCAGTTGATATGTTTGGTTGATTTTGGTTGATCATTTCGTTTGGCCCCTTCCGCTGGTCGGTTCAGAGCTTCTTGGGTTTGCCAGGATGCGGCCAACGTTGCTGCAGCTTCTGCAGCTTGGACTACTCTCACAATGTCTCTCACAGGTTCGATCTGAGGCCAGAGTCATCAGAGACGGAAACTGAACAGAACAATCAGAATCCAAAAGTAGTGAGAAACACGCATCATCGGCGAGACACGGCATGAGCGATCCTGCACTGTCAACTGGCCTGGCAACAGAATCTCAATGTGGAAAGAGGTCGGCTGGTTTTCTGAGGATCATTCGACAGGAATCCGAGGAAATGGTTGACTGTATGACAGTATGAAAGGTCCAAACATCGGCAGCAAAAGCTATATGTTTCCAGTTTTGATTTGTTTATCTCAGTTGTTTGAGATTGAGATACACAGCCATACACAGAAATTCTAATGTGCCGGCTTTGACAGGCAGAGTGCCCGAGCAATGCAGGGACAGCGTCCTTCTTGTACTTGTGATTGCAATAATTTTAATATTGAATTTCAAGTAGCTGCTTGTCAAAAGCACTCCTGAAAGCCGTGTGGTCTTGGTGTTCAACACCTGCGACCCGGGCTCTTGTCCTACTGCGCCCACCTCCAGGAGGCTCTCCCTCCGGGAAGCTCGGAGTCCGTTGACCGAGCTTCACGGCCGGGACGAGGCCAAGGCTGGCATTGGCGGAGCGAGCCATGATCCGAGCCGGCCAGAGCTGGAGCTGGTTTCAGTTGGTTTCAGCTTTATGGAGATAAAGAGGATTTGGTGCAAACTCGAGGCCTTGAGGCCCTTTGATCCCCTTTGACTGATTGTAGAACCCATACAGTGGTTTGCGTGAAGTCGAACTGGTTTTGCTTCTTGATTCTCGATGCAACTTGGTTGATGTAGTCACTGCTCGTTACCTGCAAGTGAGCCTTTGCTTTCAGGACAACACCGGTCATAGTTTATTCGCGAGCGCGACCGGAAAGATGATTGTAGCTGAGAAGGAACTGGTTTCAGCTGGATTGCATCTGGTTGCAGTTTCGGTGATCTCTTGTTGCAACTGGTTGCGTTTGTCAGGCAATGATGCGCGAAGCAGTGACACTGCCGTTGCGCATGGCACGCATCCCAGGACAGTGGAACATGTTCTTCACAGCATAGTAGCTCCTGGCCATACTACTAGGAACAAGAAGCTACTAGGGGCTCCTGGCAAAGGACGCTGTTAGGGGCTCCTGGCCTTACTACTAGGAGCAAGGACGCTACTAGTAACAAAGGGCTACTGTTCCTCACAGCATGTTCCACAACGGAAAAGGCACGCTGCCGATCCAAGGCTGATGTTTTAGACTTCGAGCGGATTTTCTGGCGCTCCGCCGAGCTCCACTGGCACTTTGAATGAGTTTCGTTGTTTCCCTTTGGTTTGCTCATTGTTAATTATGTTCATTCCTAGACAGAGTGTGTGTCAAAGCGTGACCTTGTTTGCAGCTACAGTTGCTGTTGCTGATTTCTGGGTGTCGGCTGCATTTCCTGTTGTACCAAAATCTCAGGAATCTAAAGCTTATAATTCTGCAAAATTCACAGTTCAGGTACAATCCAAATCAACTATCATTTTGCTTCACATGATTTCATTTGTTCTGTCTAGGGGCTTTCCCCGCACCAATCGCTTGGTCTTTCTTGCCAGGCGCAAAGCCTTGCTGGTGTCGGGCCCGGCGGGCTGTGGCAAGCGCGCGCTGGCAGAGGCAGCAGCAGCTGAGGCGGGCGCGCAGGCATGGTTCGGTGGCCGAGCAGGGGGATGAATTGAATAGATGAGTTCATGAGGTGGATGGCAAAAGTTTGTCGGACAAGAATCAGTTTGAATCAGCGTCTTACGAATGAACGCGTGCTTCAGTGGCCCGGCCAACTTCTCGGGGACTATGTCGTATGGTTGTTTAGTGCTGTCATCCAAGTCCGAGTTGCATACTAGATCGATCATACATCCATGATCCGTCGTTCATTATTTTGCAGCTGCAGAGATCCTGTCCATTTGCCCGCTAAACTCCAGTTTGCATTGCAATAAGCCATAATCCCAGTAAGAAAGGACTATGTTTGATGTTGCGCTTGTCCACTAGAGTTTCTTTGTTTCTTGGTCTGCTACTTCATGAGCTGCGCAATCACCTCAGCCTGGATTGCGAAGACTTCCGTCCACGTCAGGTTTTGCACCTTGCCGCACGTGATGCCAAGACATCGGACTTCTGCAGGTGCGGAATTCGGTCGTCAGGTGAGTGACCGACACCCTCCACCCACCGTTGGCCTTTGTGTGGGGGCGTCTGGAGCAAATAAGGGTTACAGTGAGGGTTACAGTTCAGGGGTGCAAACTCCGTTCCCCATTCGATGGTGAAGTTGAGAGGCTTTTGGAGGCCGACTGATGGTGCCAAGGACTGCTTTATCCACATCTTCCACATCAAAGAAGCCTGTCATGGTGCTGATCGAGGGATTAGCCATGAGCTTAGAGGTGAAGTGCTCTCAGGGCTACGCTTTTCCAACGCCATCAGAGGTGTGGCAGGTGGAGTTGGAGATTTCAATTCGGCTTTTCTCAGCAACTTTCAGCAGACAATTCACCTGGTCACCTCATCGTTGCCCCAATAAGTCTGGGTGGAGTCCACGCGCCTGAACATGACGTAACATGACAGTGCCTTTGGGCAGTCTGAGAATGACCACTGTCTTCATGCAGCTGCAGCTGCATAACATACAGGCCCTCCATTTGGAAGGCTTGATGCGGCAATTGGACTCATAAGCAGAAGGAGCAAGCAAGGCTGAAGTTTGAATTTCAAGAGATCATGGCATAGCGGCTCTCATCATTCTGGAAGCTGTTGAGTTCGCACTGCTCAGGAGATGGAGCCAGAGGCAGCTTCCACAATTGGCCACTGCCTCACGGAGGCAAGCGACTTCGCTCTTCCTTCTATGGAAGTATTTTTGGAGAAACGGACGGTATTTGCTGTGACGCACGATGGTAGTTCCAGCACGTTTCATCATTCTCCTTTCAGAAATTCAGGCACACAAGGCAGTGATGCTGCATCCAAGTCAGAGTGCTTGCGGAACATTTGCATCATCTCAGCGAAACATGGAGATCATGAACGTCCGCAGTGAGAAGCCACTTTCAGACTTGCAAAGCCTTGCCCAAGCCAGTAGGTTGCCAGGGAGCACCAACGCATTGCCTTCGTTGCAAGCGCCAGCGCGGGGACCAACTTTGGTGGAAACAGGAGAATTGCTTTTAAGGCGGCAGCTGAAGACCATGAATGTCTTGACTTCCTCCTAAAACATGGCGGGACCGGGACCAGGCTCGGCTCAAAAGAAAACTATACTATCAAACACTTTTGGCCTTCTAGCAATTGGACATCCTTGGCTTGCAGACCCCACAACCACCAGTCGTGGAGCAAAGTCAGGTGCATGTGTTCTTTTTTCAAGATCTTTGAGTGACACAATTGGACTTGTTCATTTGCCAACTTTGTAACATTGTTGATCAATCCAATTCTGCAAATGTGATGGCCAAGTCTCAAAGATTCCAAGTCTTGGGAACCCAGGTTCTGAACCAAGCAGCTTCCTTCATCCAATTGAGTTCGAGCGCCTAGAAAGCGACCGAACAATGGCTGATGTGCATGAGCCTTGGAATTGGTACTGTATGTCATCGTGTTCAGAGGAAAAGTGCATTTGGTTGCTGAGGCTCTTCCCCTTTGGCTGGGTGCTGCAAATCCCAGCGCCTGGCCAGGTAGGGTTCTTGCAAACAGCATGTGCTACTCGTACGTTCGGGATGAATTTTTGAGTATGCTGCCACTGTTTGCAATAACCAACAAAATTCCGCTTTATGTGAAAGGGATGCCTTCGCTGTGGAAAACATAATAGAAGCGTGTGCTGTTGCAAGCCAGGGTCACCGTCTTAATCAATCAATAGGTTGTTTAACCATTTCACATCCCAAACCTCGTTTGACAACCTTGTCACAGGCAGAGCGGAAACAATTTCTGTTGAAGCTGCTGGCACAAGTCCGAGGCCCAGACCAGATTGGCCGTATGCAATTGAACTCAATGTCCAATTCCTTTTTGCAGCGTCTTTCTTGTATTTACGGTCCATGGTAATGCTGCAAGCTGCTTGCACTTTTGGGTTCCAAAGCAACACTGCTTTGGGGGAACTCGGGATACAAGCGATGAGATCCCAACCATCTCATGCACATTTCTTGGCCGGTGAAGACGAAATGCCCAGGTCTCCCGTGTGGATGCGGTATGGGGATCAGCCTTGAGAGAATCGGCCCAAGCCTGGCATGCTTGGCCAGTGGTGATTCTTGGAGTTCACTTGGGCGGTGCCCGGCGGTGCCTCAGTTTGCCCAATTAGCAGCTTTTTGAGTGTAGCAAAGAGTCATCCCGTTGGCAATCGAACTTCCCAGTGTCGGCAAAGCCTTTCTTTTATTGATCTTTGCCAGGCAGTGGACACATTGGCCAGAACTGGCCTTAGAGCAGCCTTGCGAAACATGTAGGAGAACATCGGAGTACAAAACTCCAGCTCCCGACTGTCAATGGAGTAATATGGAGCAATCGTAGTAACAATTAATCGTAGTGCATAGTAAGCGCAGTAAGTAGCAATCACGGCGAGTCTTGACTCTGGAGTCTGGAGGATTGTATAGGACCTTCCTTTCTGGACGCCTTGAAAGAATTGTGGGTTCAAAACTTACTACGATGTGGAGCTTCAACTACCATCAGCTCAAACTCATTTTCCATGTTAGCCTAGTAACTTAGTATCATGCAAAATAGCATCAGTGATCATCACTTCAGGGCGATCATTTTAGGAACACGAAGCTACTTAGCAACAAAGGGCATTGCTACTAGGGGCGCTCCTGGCCTTACTACTAGTAACAAGGACGCTATTAGGAGCAAGGGCATCGCTGCTAGGAGCAAGGACGCCCGCTACTAGCTTTTTGTTCCTAGTAGTTCCTAGTAGCAAGAATGCTCCTAGTAGTAATGCCCTTTGTTACTAGTAGCGATGCCCTTTGCTCCTTAATCGCATCCTTGATCCTAGTAATACAATAGTACAAGGAAACTGAACTTGTAGATCACTGAGACCTCACGGAGAACTACACCTTCGCAGAGATGGACTTTGTCGTCCGGCGGGCCTTCCTGCGAAGTAGCAACGAAGAGGACGGATCCCCCACCGAAGAATCTGGAACTAGTAGTAAGGCACTTGTTACTACTAGTAAGGCACTTGTTCCTAGTAGCTTCTTGTTACTACTAGTAAGGCACCTGCTACTACTAGCGTGGCACTTGTTACTAGTAGCTTCCTACCCCCCGGGATCGGAGAAGACGCTACTAGTAACAAGTGCATCGCTTCTAGTAACAAGTGCCTTACTAGTAGTAACAAGAAGCTAGTAGAAACAAGTACCACGCTACTAGTAACAAGTGCCTTACTAGTAGTACTACGGATCCCATGGGATCGGAGAAGACGCTGACGGAAGAATCTGGGATCGCTCACCGATCGTTGCCTCGCTGGTTAGCCTCTATTTGACATGCGAGGCGACGTGAAATGGTGACAGGGTGTGAATTGTGCATCCACAAAAGGTCCACAAAAAGCACACTCCTTTCATGGAAAGATAAAGATGATAAGGATACTGCATGAAGACATGGGAGTTGATCTAGAGGTGCGTGCGTGTAAGGGGGTTTATGATGGTTGATGTGACCTTTTTAGATGCTGTCCATCTTCCGTCCGCGAAAGATCCGGCATCTGGCACAGCCCTGACAGTGCGTACAGCATTGTCCTTCCCAACTCAGAAACTGCATCACCCAGCAGCAAGGCAACGATCTGCAGCTCTGACAGATTGTGTAGATGTTTGCGCATGATGTGCATTTTTTTGGAAAATCACTAGTGAATTTCTGCGAAAGATCCGCAAAAGTTCCGCGAATCTGGGGTTAAAGTCAAGGTTCCAAACTCGAGCGCCCCCAACATTCCCGCTGCAAGTGACCCTAAAGTATCTGTAGCTCTCAACCTAGTGTGTCGTTCATGCTGCAAGATGCCAGTCAATATATATATACTGTATATATATATATATTGCATGTTAACTAGACATGGTTTTAGGACCATGCTTTGCCATGAGGCCGCCAAAGATCCGCGAAAGAATTTTCATCCGCGATGAAGTGCCATTCCATGATCACATGGATCAACCACCAAATTATGTGCTGCGATGGGTGCTCTTGGGTGCTTCAGTTCTTTTCGATATCGGGGAGTCCGGGCACCAAACGAGCTTGCCGCATCGACCTCATCGACCGCATCGCCTTCAGGGAGGCCGAGATCCTGTCGCCCTGCACCATTTCGAGAAAATCTTGGCAGCCGGAAGCTCAACACGACGTGTCGCATGGTGTCGTGCCGCTGCCAGTTTTCCTGGCAGTTCCCCCTGAAAGTTCAGCACAAAACAGCACAAATTATGTAAGAACTTCCATGAACTTCCCATGGAGGTGACAAGCAAGTCCAAAAGTCATGTGTTTTCAAAGCGATAGTTTTTTTGCTGCAGACCAGACTGTACTGTTTGTGTAGCCACGGCGTTGACAGATACGTTGAGATGCGGGTTGCAAAATCGTAGTTTTCGCAACTCGTTGAGATGCGGTACTGTGGGACTTGTGCCGAGAACTTTCAGAGTAGTGCATCCAGAAATCATCCTGGTGCCTATGCGGACACAAATTGCTGTAAACGGTTTCGCGGACATCAGTGGATCATTCAGCAGTCAATTGGTTTCACTTCATTTCTCTGCCCGTGGAACGGGGCTGATCACTTTCTACGGTCGCTCCACGTGGGATTTGCTCATGCCTTCATCGATAGTATCGATGGCGAAGCCCAAGGAGACGCCAGCTCAGAGTCTCAGAGCCTATGAGCAAGGCTTCTCTGGTCGAGACTTTGCCTGTGGCAACTGGTGACCAGGTGGTGTGTCCGAGCCTACCCCGATGCAATGAATCATAGAGACCACTTAAAAGCAGAAACATATTAAATAGATCTTAACATATTTTTGAGGATCCAAAGGGGAGGAACCAAACTTTCGGCGTTTGGACCTGGTCACAATGATGTTGGTTTTGAGCTGGAGATGGGTGTGTAAGACGTTTGAACCCTTGGGTGATTTGCTTTGTCAACATCGTGTCACACTGTGGGCATCCCTGCAGTTCTTGCTCCACAAAGCACAGTGAATGCACGCGAACACAGACTTTTTGCATTCATGTAACCTATTTGACCTGTCTGGATATATATTTTTGCTTGCCCGAGGAAGACCCGTGGCCTTCATGACTGACACAGCGAGTGTCAGCAGCTTCCTGAGTGGCCGTCTTGCGCTTCCTGTCGTGCGTGTCAGGATTCGCTTGATTCAGCCTGGGCGTGTTTGCCTTAGGGAACACAGCAAGACCAGGCCAGCAAAAATCAGAAAAGAGCTTCCCCTTTAAGTATTTGGCCCGTATGCCCATACCCAACTATAGGATCATGATTGTCTTCGACATGCAAGAGATTGCGCAGGGCGCGAAAACTGTGCCCTGTGCGCTGCCCAATGCATGCATCATCTTTCCTTTTACTTTCCTTTTACTCGCGACACGTGTGATGAGGCGAAGACCCAAAGAAAGAGAAGAAGTCAGCGCCGTCTCTTGAAACGATTATCACGATTCCTGAATGGTCTTGAACAGAAATTAACAGCGCATGCCCCTCAACTTGCTCTATTGGTGCACCCAGGAAAAAGAAGAAGGATGGCAAGGATCCGATGGAGAGCATTTTTGGATGGCCCGCACATTCAGTATGTACTTGATTCCATTTAGAGAAACGCTCTTTCGTTCACAGGTGACTTGTCCATTGACTCGCAGTGATGCAGGTGCAATTTCTGGCTTCCAGAAGCCTTTCATCTCCCTCCTGTGGCCTGATGCCTTAGTTGACCGGAATTGAGTGGATGGATCGCATTTGATCACATCAGTCAGAATGGATCCTGGACACTCACTCTGTCTTGGTCCATTTTTAAGTCTTCCCACTTGTATTCGCTGGCACCTTCCAGATCTGGGCGATGATCCTCTTCGGTCTTCTGGCACATTTGATGGCGAAGACCACGTGAGACTCCGGACATTCCGATCAGTGATCAGTGGCAAGATGTGGGTTTCACTTGTTTAAACATGTCCAGTTTATGTAGGGTTGGGATGTTCGGTTTAGGCGAAGCATAGCCCGGGTGTGTTACCTCCGATAAGAATACACTGAATACACGGGAACGTTAAAAAAAAGCACGCACAGGGGATAAGGGAGATCTGGGTACATTGTATGTTTATATGTTTTTAATCCTATGTATTGGGACTAATTGGGGAGGTGACCTTTTAACACTGCCTTTTGATCGTCCATCACGGAATCACAGCCTTTATCACATTGGCTCAAGAAAAACTGGGTAGCACCCCCAAGCCAGCATCATACGCTGCACCTTCTGGCGAGCGTGAGGAACAGAACTGAAAGCAGCAAGTATGCTCTTTATTTTGCAAGTATTTGCAAGTATATTCAGTGTAACATAGGCTGAGTTTAGCCCCAAGACTCTAGGACGTAGACTGAACTACCCTTACATCCCTCTATATAGTGTGGACGTTACAGTACCACCCCCTGGAGCTGACTACGACGACCCTCAGGTACCAGCCCTACAGTGGTCGTCGAAAACGTGGCCGGCACACCTCAGTCGGTCCGACTGGGACGGACCGCCTTCATCGACGTCTTTTCGCCTTTGGGAGACGTCCAACAGCCACGGGTTGGATGCGAAAGGACGCTTGTGCTGGATATGAACAGATGTGCTGGAGAGAAGGGCTGAATTTGACCAGGTCAAGCAGCATCTTGGAGCTTTTGGGTGCTTGAGTGCTTTGGGTAGTTTTACAGGCATGTACGGCACTAAACCATACTAAACCGATTCAATCCAATTTTAAGGTGTAAGACCCTTTGGTAGTCTTCTTGATCTTCTTGTTGAGAGTATCAGGTCCAGATGTTGTGCAGATACTTGGAGGGAGGTGACAGTTTATGACAATGTAAGACCGGAAAACAACTCTATTAAAAAGATTTAAAGATATTTATATAGTGCTGACTGGCGTTTTTCTTTTATGCTGGCGAGCGGGCAGATGTGGTTTTTGTGGCAAAAGTAGCGGAAGCACTGCGCTGCCACGAGCACCACGACCACCGCCACTACCAAACACAATAGAAAGCGGCCGCACCACACCACCACGACCACCACAGAACACATAAAAAGAAGGCCACCCCAGCATTAAAAACCACAGAACAGAGCCCCTAAGCCCCCAGCATCCACAACGAATGGACCGTTAGCATTAAAACCCTCTTCCCAAAAGAACACACCTCCGCCGAGGTGGAGAACGGAACCGCAATTCTCTCTTTAGCACCTCGTCACGGAACCGGGTGGAACGGCTTTGCGGCGAGATTTGCGGGAACCAGTGCATTGCTACTAGTAACTAAGAAGCTACTAGTGACAAGTGCATCGCGACTAGTAACAAGTGCATTACGACTAGTAGCAAATAGCTGCACGTAGCTTCTTGTTAATTACGTTCGTAGCGATGCACTTGTTACTATAGGTTCTAAGGATCCGCACCCATCGATAGTTGATGCCTTCACCGAACAATGTCTCCTTTTTTGAGCATCGCCCCACATCATGGAGCATCAAAGCGAAGGTTGCTTGAACTACGGGGGTCGCTGGGTTGCTTCTTGACGCATGGCCTAGCCGAAGTAGTGCACGAAGTGAGATCCTGGCCACACTCAGGCGAGCTGAATTCTGGCAATCCGACGGGGGCCCGGAAGGGTTAGATCAGATTGGGAAGTTCTCAGTCAAATATGAAAAGCAAAGAAATCGTCAAGACAACATTTGGATCGACATATCCATCTTCAAAGCAACAATGTGAGTTTCTACCCTGATACACACCCTTTGAAACGACCTGGGTCATGTCAACCAGTTGAGGTACGGCCTGGGTGAAGGGCTAGGTGATTGGCCCCTGGGAGGCGCGAGGGGCCGAAGAATGAAACATTTCTTTACGGAAGAAGGATTCTACCACCTTGGTTGGTGTGTGAACTAACTAACAGGTTTTCATGTTTGATCATGTTGGACTTTCGTTCAACCATCATTCGAGGAAGACTCCTTCTCCTTTTGGTGGGTAAAATAGGGGTTCAGTGGTACATTGACATAGATCAAGCGAGCACCAGCGCCATGTGATTTTGCTCAAAAGAGGAGGTGTGGACACCATGCTATGTGGCTATATATGGCCATATGTCAGTCAAACATTTGGTGCTGGTTTGTGATTGCTCAATGGTCGCAATTTGACGGCGTATCATTCAAGCGGGCTGCAGGGAACAGCCCCTTTCCGGGCTTCCCAAACATGCCGGGCATGCCTGGGATGCCCGGCATGCCGGGGATGCCTGGGATGCCGGTGCCCGGCCGCGATCTGAGGGGGAGCTTGTTGACAACATTCATTGGCATAGGATTTATAAGGAACATCAAACTCAGAACCTTGAAAAGTGTCAACCCTGGGATCTTTTGCTAGCTTGCCATGTTCCATCTCCAATTCCCAGTGATGAAAAGGTGATTTGCTGTGAGATGACAACATGAAGCTTCATGCAGAATAGTCAATCTGCAGCTCTACTTGGCGCAGCTGCTTTGCTTCAGTCTGTCCTCAAGGGACAGCTGCCCCCCGCGTCATGGGAAATGACGCATCCACTGGGAGAAGTTCGAAAGGGCCGAGGCACCGAGCAGCTTGGGGACCGAGACGCTAGGGGTTTGCGCTACAGAATTCGAGGTCCGAAATCTGATCTACTCCGGGGGTTTGCACTCTGGGAACGACTCCAATAGCTGGACGCTCAATTGTGATTTGACCTCCTTCTGAAGATGAATTCCATGGCATCGCTCATTGCTGGAGCCAGGAGTGGCAAGCTCCTGGTCGCCGGATGGCAAAAGAGAAAACTACCGCCCGATCCTCAAAGGGAACTCAAAGCTTCTGAGAGAACTAGACGACGGTTGGCCCGAGAGCGAGACATGTAATTGTCCAGCACTGTCGAAAAGATGTATAGAAAGAGAGAAAGAGAGGGTGGATGTGAAGGAGTGACAGCGTGGATGTGCAGGTGCGATATAGATCTGTAGATGTATGGAGGTGGAGAGGTAGATCTGTGGATGTGAGCGTGCGAAGATGTAAATGCACAGAGACGAGAGAAAAGATATGTAGAAAGAAAGACAGGACAGATGTGAAGGAGCGACAGTGTGGATGTACAGATGTGATATAGATGTGCAGATGTGTGGGTGTGGTGAGGTGGAGAGGTAGATCTGCGGATGTGAGCGTGTGAAGATATAAATGTAGAGAGGTGAGGGGGCGTAGACGTAGATGCGTCGATGCAACGGCAGCGCAACGTCAACCTTAGTTGTGCAAGTACAACGCTGAAGAGGTTCAAATAGAACTGAAGAACGTACGTTTCACACTGAAGTTTCCACGAACAGGGCGACCTGAGAGTAAACGACGTCACGATCATGACAAGCGACTCGTGTATTCCAAGCGAACATCGTTTGTCATGAAGGTGAAGTACACACATACTAACGTCACGATGACTCTTGTGGCAGCCACTTATGAGTAAGCAAAGTAGCTAAAAGTTGTCAACCTCTCAAGAGAGCCGGGTGGTCGGGAGACATGACTCAGCTGCAGGGGCGCCAGAGCAGCCGCGAGAGATGACTCATCCGCGTACTCAAGTTGTACTACAAAGTCGCCAGTTCTCAGCTTCCAGCTCCACAGCTTGCTCCGCGTACTAAAGTTGTACTACAAAGTCGCCAGTTCTCATCTTCCAGCTCCCCAGGCACTCCGCGTACTAAAGTCGTACTAGAAAGTCGCCAGTTCTCATCTTCCAGCTCCCCAGATACTCCGCGTACTAAAGTTGTACTTCAAAGTCGCCAGTTCTCAGCTTCCAGCTCCACAGATTGCTCCGCGTACCAAAGTTGTACTAGAAAGTCGCCAGTTCTCATCTTCCAGCTCCCCAGATACTCCGCGCACTAAAGTTGTACTACAAAGTCGCCAGTTCTCAGCTTCCAGCTCCACAGATTGCTCCGCGTACTAAAGTTGTACTAGAAAGTCGCCAGTTCTCATCTTCCAGCTCCCCAGATACTATGCGTACTCAAGTTGTACTACAAAGTCGCCAGTTCTCAGCTTCCAGCTCCACAGATTGCTCCGCGTACTAAAGTTGTACTACAAAGTCGCCAGTTCTCATCTTCCAGCTCCC